AAATTTGCAGATGATATTAAGGTCTTTGGTGATGCTAGCTATGAAGAGTATGCTGCTGATTTACAAAATAATTTAGATCATTTAGTGAGTTGAGCAAATAAATGGGTCTTAGTTATAACAAATGCAAGATGATGCATGTAGGGTGTTATAATTTGAATTCTAAATGTAATTTGGGTGGGAATAACCTTAATAGTATTATGAAGGAAAGGGATCTTGGTGTCATAGTTGATCAGTCTCTAAAGCCATCCGTGGAATAGGATTTTAGGTTGTATCTACAGAAATATTGAATACAGGTCTAAAGAGGTTATAATTTCATTGTACAGGTCACTGGTTAGGCCAGATTTGGAATATTGTGTTCAGTCTTGGGCTCTTCACCTTAGGAAAGTCATTGAATTGTTGGAAAGAGTTCAGAGTAGGGTTACTAGAATGGTGCCTAGGATGGAAGTGTTGTCATACGAGGAGAGGTTGAAATCTTTGAAATTGTTTTATCTTGAAAAAAAAAAAGAGTTAGAGGGGATCTGATTGTGGTGTTTAAGATTGTAAAGAGAATTGGTAATGTTAATGCATCATCTCTTTTCTTACTTAACAGTGAGAATAGTAGGACTAGGGGACACAAATATAAATTTTGGTAACGTAGGAGTCATCTTTAGCTAGACAGTGATGGCCTTTGAAATGGGTTTCCTTCAGATGTTGTGGTGGCAGTATATTTTAGTGAGTTTATGAGAAAGCTAGATAAGTATAAAGTATATGAATGATAAATGCTGGCTTTAAGATATTTTATTTTTTAAATTCATTTATTAATAGTTTTAGTTTTGTTTAGAGAATGGGACAGCTGAGATAGACAAATAGGTCCCATGTTGTCCAAAACATTATGTTATATTAGTGTAATGGAAGGTGACAAACGAACAAAAAATTAGAGGTGTGCAAATTTATAATAAAGAAAAGTATTTAGTATCTCGTCAATACCTCTCCATATCATTACCATATTGTTAATGTTTCTGTCTTCAAACACACAACTGTTGTTTGTGTGTGTGTGTATGTGGTAGTACACATACATACAGTAATGGAAGTGAGCAAGTGCTACACATACAATTATGGCAAATACATGATGAATGTATTAAATGTACAAAAATACAGAAGAATACTTTTTACAGTGTATTTAGCCATTATTGTGAGTGTTCCATGACTTGTTGGAAGATAAATTTGTCACTGTAATGATTTGTGTTCCTGGAGGAAAGGCAAGATGGATCAGAATCTGTCTGTACTTATCAGTAGTCAGGGATCTTCAGTTTTATGTAGATTCCTGTCACCACTGGCTGAGATGCAGCCCAAATTTTTTAATCGATCCTTTACCATTCTTCACTGTTAATTTTGGATATTGTCTATGATGATGTTTTCTTCTTTGCTGTCAAGCAAGCTGTTATTGATTGTTGCCAAACAATTGAATTTGAATTAATATGCAAAGAGCATAAGTCTTTACATTTGCTTATTCCACTGTCTGTGATCCATTGCTAATTTTAACCTTTGGTTTGGTTAACTTTTCTCAGCATCAGTTTTTGAGCACCTACATAAGCATTAAGACTATTTCATATAAATTTGTGATGTACTGTTCTTTGAGGTAACATAAGTACCTGTATTTACAGCAAGGCCATTGGCAGTATCTGTACTCAACCACTGTGTATCTCATAAAGAATATGTCCTGGGATACATAACATCACTTCTGGAAAGTTTTGGTTTTTCTGTCTCCCCACTTCTGTTATTTACACTGCCAGATTCAAATTTATATCAATTTTTTTATGTGGATTATCCTTGACTGGCCAGCAATAAAAAAAGTGCAATTTAATATATTGGAAGTTTAAAGTTTAATTTTGTTGTGAGATTCCACAAAAGTATTCATAATAAACACCATTAATAATTTCTAGCTATATGTTACAATGAAAAAGTGATGCAAACTATTTGATGAGTCTTATTATCTTTAACACATAATTAAGATCAAAAATGGGAATCTTCAAGATGGTCAAACTTACATATCTGGACAAATTTTACTGTACAAGTAACATCAAAAAGAGAGAACTTATAGTCATTAGTTAGTTCAGACAGATATATGCTCTGAAAAGAATAAATTATTTGAATTTTTATACTTCTTTAATTTTAAACTATTTCTCTGAGATTAATCATGATTTTTAGTTTGCCCAGCATGTATTGAATATTTATTTTATTCTGCAGAAAATGAAACCTTGTATGCCCTTTTAATGTATTATCATTTTTGTGTCCATGTTTTTAATAGTTTGAGTATGCTAGAATTTTTGCTTGTTTTTATGCTTTAACCTTGCTATATAGCTTATCACTCAAAAACCAAAAACCCAGTAATTAATAAATTGCTTTTCCATATTCTTCCCTGTTTGATATGCTCTGTGCTTGACATCCTTCCCTGCTTGTTTTGAATCATCTTCTCAAATTTGCTGGGCTGTGTGTGGGGTTTGCTTCTGAACAACCAATGAATTTCTTTTGGAGTAGCTCAAAGCAATTTGGCCTTCTTTCTGACAGATACACCTACTGCCAACGATGTTTTTCAGAAATACAGGGTGACACTGTCACTCTTGGAGATGATCCTACAGCACCACAAACGTGAGTGTTTTTATATCTTTAATTCTGTGTATTCAAGTCGTAGTACTTTAATATAGAATATTTGAAATTGGAATAATAACAGTTTTTGAAGAAGAGGATATAATAATGTATAAAATAACTAATAGAATAAAATATAACTTTTAAAATAATTTTCCATAAAGCTTTGAGAATTTCCTAACCTGTTAGGAAATACATTTCAATAACATTAGATCCAAAATATATCATACTTAACACATGCGTCATGAGCCACGGGTACTTTTTTTTTGAGGTGTTTTGGTGATTGTAAAAAAAAGCATTGTGGTAAGAAAAGAAGAGTACTGTAGTTGAAAGAATATAAAATGACAAGTCAGAATAAGTTTTTTATTTCAAATTTGTGAGAAAACATGACCGTCAACGTCTTCCATACATTACAGTAGTTAACAGTACTTAAATCCAGTAAAACAGTATGGATGAAACGAAATGCTACCAATATGGATTCTAATGCAATAAAGTTTACAAACTTAAACTTTTGTTGTATTCATGGCCTACTTTTGTTTTGATTTCAATTAATAAGTTGTTTTACCTTTTTATCACTTTGGTAATTCATGTTGTCGCTATCATGAGTATGTACTTCCTTGAGTCTTCCCCATCCCACCATCAGTAATCTGGAAGTTAGCATCATATACAAGATTCTTGATCATAGCTACAAACAGATTCTGAATGCCTCTTGGGGAAATATTAAGAGTGCCATGCTTTTTAAACTTTGCTGTTAAAGTAGTGATATACTGCCACACTTCTGTTTCAGATGGAAAGTCAAGTCTATCTGGAAACTGAGGACGAAGTCTCTCAAGCATTTGCCCAGGCCCTACTTTGTTTCTTTTGTCCTCAACACCTTACATCAACATAGCCTCAATTTTTGTCTTGAAAGATTCAATATTTTTTTTTGATACACTTCTCTATGCCTTGAGCATTGTATTCGTATTATTCTCACTTAGTGCAGCGAACACGATTGCAGAGAGCTTCTAAATTCCATTTTACTTGAAGGATCATGTTTTGTATCAATAAAATCAACACAACCAGTATCAACCAACTCTACTGCATACTTAAGACCAGTTGTTATCATATCTTTGCTACACCTAACACCATCACATTTGTGCTATTCCTTTGTTTTTACTAAAAGAAAGTGCCATTGACATACTTGGCAGATGGTTTCATCCTCAACATTATCATTTTGAAAAGTGTTGAGAACATCTATTCTATCTTCTTCATTACATGCTTTCCGCTTATTGTTATTTCCACGCTGGTGGTATTCAAATCTTGTTGAATTTGGTG